ATTTGTTAAACGAGTCTCACCAGTAGCAGTGTGTAAAAAAAATTAGCTTTTGTTGATCAGTTGATTCACCATAATTTAGAGTTAATTTCGACATAAGTCCCTTGTCTTTCGTTGCAATTCTAAATTTAGCACAGACTATCGTTTTTGTCATTTAACACCCAGACTATCATATTTTGGATACTTTTGGTCCTTTTGATAACTTTTTTGATAAAATCCTATTTTAGGTAAGGGTATTTTGTCTCTTGAATTTTATTTTTATCTTCCTAATAAGTTAATTCCAGTAAAGGGTCCTTGTCTTTGATGGCATTTCCAAATTTAGTCTTAAACAATCGTTTTCGCTATTTAACACCGCAAACTATCATATTTTGTACATTTTAATCTTTTCTATGAATTTTTCCGGTGAAACCCTATTTTAGGAAAAAGGTATTTTCCTTTATTTTTGATCATTAATCTCATATTTCACCGCTTGTATCCTTTTTTTTTATGTACTTCGTTTTTATATATTTTGTTAAATACTTATAGACAAATTTTATATTATTAAACATAAATTATTTCATTTGAAAGATCTCATCAAGACGATTAAAACAAGACTAATATTGAGTATGGATTAATTAAAAATTAAGCTACATAAAAAATAATTTTAACAATAATGTTATTATGGAATACAAATATTATTTGAATAACAATTATATTTTATATTAAAATAATTAAAGTGTTAATATAAAGTTTTAATTTATGAGAATATAAATTATTCTCGTGTAAAAATAAAATTTGGTGCAAATAGGTTAAAAATGAACAAAATTTGGTGTAAGAATATATTGAGAATATTTTTTCTGGTGTAAAATTTGGTGTTTTTGATTAGAGATGGTCTAAGTTCCTAAACAGTAAAAATTGAACCCTAAACCAAAAAAAAAAAAAAAAAATTAAACCATAAATTTCAAAAAGTGAACCCTATATGCAATGAATTTCCATATTAGGTGCAATTAATTATATCGTTATGTACTTTAATTACTAACATTCTTTTATATATATATATATATATATATATATATATATATATATATGAACTCTAAAGTGAACTTTAAAAAAAAAAAAAAAAAAAAAGTACTAAGCCCAAAACCAAACCCAAAAAAAAAAAAAAATTATATAGGTAATTCTAGGGGATTTTCTTGTTTTTGTGATAATTTCACATTTAGTCTTAAATTATCGTTTTTGTCATTTAACACTATATACTAAATCGACTATCATATTTTGGACACTTTGAATCTTTATGATGACTTTTTCGGTAAAATTCTAATTTAAGCAATGGTATTTTCGTCTTTCAATTTTTTAAATTATTTTCTCAATGAGTTAATTCTAGCGGAGGTTTATTGTCTTTGGTGGCAATTTTAAATTTAGTCACAAACAATCAATTTTGTCATTTAATGACCTAGACTATCATGTATTTTTTTTTTTTTTACACTTTTGGTCCTTCTAATGATTTTTTTTTTTTTTTAGGTAAAACCTTTTTTGGCAAAGACATTTTCGTCTCTTCAACTTTTTTTTTTTATCTCCTTCACTCAGCTCTTGTCTTCATCTCCTTCAACCAAGATTGCAAAAATTGCTAGGCGTTCCTCGGACACTTGGGAAGCGCCTAGGCGTCCGTTTAAAAAAAAAATTAAATTCAAAAGATTTTTTTTAAAAATATATATTTAATACTTGATAATTATAACTTATTTAATACTTTAATAGTTAGTACTAAAATATTTAAAAGGCATAGGTTTGAGCGAAATAACCTATTTAAAAATACACTAAAAAATAGCTAATCGGTAGCCTAAACATCTGCCTAGACCGCCTACGGCTGCCTAGAACGGCGATTTCGTCGAAATTCTAGGCGGCCAGCCACTTCCTAGCGCCTAGGCGCGATTTTTGCAACATTGCCTTCAACAATACCTCAAATTGTCCTTCATAATGGCGATACCGAGTACGTGAAGACCTCTAGGTGTAGGAGAATCTTTTTGCAACGTAGTTAGAAAGCTCAGGATGTCACCACCTGGATGGCATCAGTCTGACCACTATTGTTTTAATTCTTGATCATGTGAATCATATACTATAGTCATCTACTTGGAGATGTTAAATGGTAAAAACAATTGTCTAGGACTAAATTTGAAAATGTCATCAAAGACAAATGACCTCCGCTCGAATTAACTCATTACAAAAATAAAAATAAATAAAGAGATAAAAATACTCTTGCCAAAAATAGTGTTTCGCCAGAAAAGTCATCACTCGAAAGGACTAAATGTGCCAAAATATGATAGTCTGGGTGTTAAATTACAAAATCAATGGTTAAACCTACCGGATGGATATATTATAATCGGAGCAAACCAACCCGAGAAAACCGAGCGAGAAGGTGTGGAGCAGACCCGGGGCCCCTGAGGTTGAGCCCCGTGCTCACCCCAATGCGCCTCGGTCAGAAAAGGGCTCGGCCAAAAGGAGGTCGGCCGGTCAAGCGGAAGATCGACTCGGGGCTCGGACCCCGAGCGCGGTCAACACGGAGATTTAACTGACTCGCCATTTTAGGGGGTGGTTAGGGGGTATGGCTTGTATAAATACCTCTCATTTTGTCCTATTAAGACATCTTCATCACTATTGTCCTAATCGATTAGTGTAACAGCATTGTGTTACCTTGTAATAACTCGATAACGTTCCTTTAATACAATATTTGGTCCCCGCGATCCTGCAACACTCGTTTTTGCCTTTACACTATCCCTTTTATTTATCGGGTTTAATTTATTGATTCGAACTATCTCGGTTAATTAAATCCATCACTTCCCAATATATGTGTGAGTGAGAACATGAAAGCAAAATTTTCTTTTCGTCGTTTTCCATTCCAAGAAACAAAATTAAATTTCATAAGTCGATGACTTTTTCTATTTTTCATAACATGATCTCATTCTAAAACACAAACAAATAGTAAAATAAAGAGTTAATTCTCAAAATGGTCCATAGATTATGGCATTTTCTCAAATTGGTCTATTGACTTTTAATTTTTTTAAAGTGGTCTTCCGACTTTTAAATTTTAAGTTAAAATGGTCCTTCGTTAGCTTTGGCGTTAAGTTGGTGTTAAAATGAATGGAAAAACTGGAAATTTAGGTTTTGCACTCCAATTTAAAGCAATCTGTGATTCTTTTTAGCAATCTGCGCACATATTTCTTCAAATTAGGTTTTTGATCTCCCAAATTTGCAAGGATAATTAAACTAGAATGCCAGAAATCTTTGCCTTGGGAAGTTTGTGCATGAAGTTGAAGATGAACTTTTTTGGCCTTTGATTATCCCACATTTTGATTGTAGATTAGAAGAGTAAAAACCTAATTTGAAGAAATATGTTCGCAGACTGCTGAAAGGAATCACATATTGCTTTAAATTGGAGTGCAAAATCTAAATTTCCAATTTTACCCTTCATTTTAACACCAACTTAACTCCAAAGCTAATGGAGGACCATTTTGACTTAAAATTCAAAAGTTAGAGGACTACTTTAAAAAAACTAAAAATTAAGAGATCAATTTGAGAAAATGTCATAGTTAGAAAACCATTTTAAAAATTATCTCTAAAATAAATAAGATAATTAGATTTGAACTCAATACTTCAATAGTAATGGTTGAAACCTGCGAACCAAGCGGTCCCCGATTGTGTACTGGAAGAGGTTATGTCAACAAAATTTTACCCAGAATTAACCTTTTCTTACCCCCCTCCCCCCCCCCCCCCCCCCCTTTTTTTTCTATATACTTTTTGACAATAGTACAATGTAATATCTATCTATACATATTTTCTCACAACCTAAAATTTGAACTTATGATCAAATTTTAGGTTGTGAGAAAAGGTTATGTCAACAAAATTTTACCCAGAATTAACCTTTTCTTACCCCCCCCCCCCCCCCCCCCCCCCCCCCCCCCTTTTTTTTTCTATATACTTTTTGACAATATTACAATGTAATATCTATCTATACATATTTTCTCACAACCTAAAATTTGAACCTATGATCTCTCATTTGAGAGAGTCAAAGTTATACCACTCGACCCTAAGGTCTTTGTTCCTAAAGAAAATATTGAATTTTGTTTTATTACGATGTCATATTATTATTATTATAAGAGTTAATTCCAAGAATGGTCCATTGACTAGATTATTGGCATTTGTCAATTTTTATCCTTTGACTTTCAATTGGACCATAAATGGTCTTTTGACTATTGATTTTTATCAATTTTTGTTCTCAATTTCAATATGACCATGAATGGTCCATTTATCCTTAAATTTAATGTTTAATAAAATGATATTTAATTAAAAGACTAAATTTAAAAAAATAAATAGTCAAGAGACCAATTCTAGTTAAATTGAAAGGCAAAGACGATAAAGTCATAAAGATTAGTAGTCAAGAAATCATTTATGATCCAATTAAAAATTGAAGAATAAAAATTAGTAAATAACAATAATCAAGATACCATTTTTGGAATTAACTCTTATTATAAAAGTATATATTCAACTTTTTAAAATGGGAACTCAATAAATTTGGCTTAATTTAAAACTAACACGTCACGTAAGTTCCAAATCAGCAGAACATTAACGTCTGAACATCCTAAAAGGTTACGTTTAATATGTGAACAGTTTGAACGGAGACTGGGAGAGTAATATCCCATTATCACGTGGCCCGTCTTACGTAACAGTGACGGAGCCCACCCGAGTTTCCTCGAACCCTCGGGCGAGTCAACACAGGTCCATTTCAGTTTTAATATAATCGCCGAGTTGAAAGTTATCGCGGCCGTGTGTAACCATTTTTAACGAAGTTTCTAAGAGGGGACCATTTGTTTATTTAAACACAATAATCATTCATCTCTGTAATCTAGTACTCTAATGGGAGGGCAGATTCGTCATTTCACCCCCACCTCCTCGTGTTGCACGTTTTCCTCACTCTACTCGTGCCCTGCCCGTATAAATTCCCACTCCTTTTGAAAGTGTTTTCTCCCAACTCCCAAATCCCAACTCTTAAGCCATAGAGAGAGAGAGAGGACAGGCCGATAGGCCGATACTTTGAATTTAATATATACGATTCAAGTTTTTTGAGTTTACAGTTCCGACCAGACATTATATTTTAGTTTTTAGCGCTTACAGTTCCGATCAGACATCATATTTTAGTACGAGGAGTGTGAGTGAGTGAGCGAGTTCGATATGGTGCGTACGCCGTGTTGCGACAAGAGCGGGTTCAAGAAGGGGACATGGACACCCGAGGAAGACAGGAAACTAGCGGCTTATGTTACCAGATATGGGTGCTGGAATTGGAGACAGCTTCCTAAGTTTGCTGGTAATTCAACCTGGAAAAAACCTTAATTAACGCTAACAATTATTGGGGATTTTCTTTGTTTTGTTTTTGGGTTTGGGGTTAATTTAAATTGTTTTTGTTTGGGGTTTTTGTAGGATTGGCGAGGTGTGGGAAGAGCTGCAGATTGAGATGGATGAATTACTTGAGACCCAATATTAAAAGAGGGAACTATACCAAAGAAGAAGACGAAACCATCGTGAGGATGCATGAACAATTAGGCAATAAGTAAGTTCTTATACCCTAAAAAATTCTACTATATTTACTCCCAAATGTTACTTCCTTAATGGCGTGCAAACCCTGATGTGGGCCGCTGTAAGGATGTTTAGGGCAAAATTTTAAATATTGGAGTAAAAATTAAGAGTATAGAATGTGAGTGCAGAAACTGGCATTCCCATTTTTGTCACAAAAAAGCTAGGGAATTTGTTAGCTTTTGGCATCAATTTACATTTGGATCTCTTATTTTGGTTGCAGATGGTCAGCCATTGCAGCACACTTGCCAGGAAGAACTGACAATGAGATAAAAAACCACTGGCATACTTCACTCAAGAAGAACTCAAGAAAACCATCATCCTCTTCTCCCACTCAAAACCCCCAACCAAAGAAGAGATCCTCGTCGTCTACCCGAACCAAAAGACAGGACCGGGCAAACTCATCTGAAAACCCCATAATCTCGACTCATGAAATCTTAGAAAGTTCTCAGTGGTCTCCACAACCTTCATCCAGCGAGACTTCTTCTTCTTCTTCTTCTTCTTCCACCACCACTACTACTACCACCAAAAGCGATGGAATTATCCATGACGACCAAACCGTACAAGGTGAATTTGGTCACATGGAATGCGACGAAAGTTTTTGGAGTGAGCCGTTCATAATGGACAACTTTTGGTCCAATAATGAATTAGTTGTGCCTTCAATCGACTTCGGACTTTTGTCTCCACCTTCTCCTTTTAGAGACTATGATTTCTTGGGCTCATTTGATCATTTTCCCGAAGGATTCAATAATTTGAATTGGTGAGAAATTAAACATGTCGAAATTATATATATAGATATTTACCTTGTGTCATGGTAAATAATCTTGTGTCGACAGTGATCCAAGACACTATATACTAGGTTGTTTTAGACACTATATACTAGGTTGTTTTAGAGTGATCTTACAAAAAATAAAAATTAAAAAATAGAGGTGATCTTGTAATTGCAACTGTAATTTGAAGGGCATAACTTTAATTATAATAAGTATGATTAGCCTTTCATTCCTCTAAGAGCCCAGTGAATTTGTGCACACTCAAAGTGGGTCTGGTTATTTCACTCCAGCAATCTCCTTTTTTTTTTTTTTTTTTTTTTTGAAGCTGAAATTGGGTTTTTACCATCATAATTCTTATGGTGAAATTCTTGGTTTCCCATTCTAAAAAAAAAAAATTAAATTATTCGCCATCATTGTATTTACTTATTTACTTATTGACGTTCACATTTTGACGTAATAATAGAATTCTTCGGTTGGTCTTGTATCGGGAAACTATTTTTCTAACAAAATATAATTTATTATTTTTTTTTATAAATCAATAAGTATAACGTACATTTTCTCAGTTCAAAATATTATATTTTTGTTAAAATGTATTACATATTTGAGAGTTGTTTCACTTCAATGCTCTTAAACAAGTTTTTGTAAATATTCTTTAGTCATTCAACGTTCATATAAATTTATTAACCTCATCATGAGTTTTTATTTTATTTTATTTTTTATTTTTTTAATTTTTTTAATCTACCCTGTAACTTAATACTCCGTAACTAGATAGTGTTATAACAAGAGATAAAAATAGAGTGGTAAATATGGGAGGTAAATAATAATTACATTTTTAAAAGGTAATTAATTAAATAAATATTGATACGTGTTTATCATTAATTAAATTTGTGATAACGATGTGAAGAAAATTGTTAAATCGGAAGTTGATTTTTGGATGGGCTTTATAGTTGATGACAATAATCAACTTCACAAGGACACAATCACAATCATTATTGTGTGGAACATACTATTAAATAATGTACATCCAGTACGCAAAAAATATATTTTTAGTATATTAAAAATGTACATTATATTCAAGAAAAAACGTTATTTGAGTACTGAAAATACATTATTTTGTATAATGTATATTCAGTACACGAATAATGTACTTTAAGTCTATTAAAAATATAATTTTTGTTATGATATACACAATAATTTATCGCAATGACAAGTTTGAGCATCCACATTAGTGAATTGTTCACAATTTTTGAGACAAAAATTGCCAACTTAGAAGAGAAAGAGAACGCGTGAGTTCCTTAGAGCATCTATAGTAGAGCATAATTTCAAGTTATTGGTATAGTAAATATTCATTCCCAAGTTAATAGCTGATGTGGTAGTGAGTTATTTGAAAAATAATCTGCCTGCAAAGGGTGGGTTTAATGTTAGAAAGAGGTCCACCGTACCCTAATGTGCATATAGCTGTAAAACGTACTATGACGTACTACTCCAATTTTCTCTCTATCCAGTATGCATGTTTCACTATTTTTTATTAAAATTATAAATTTATAAATAAAATAATAAAGAAATAGTTAAAATATAGTGGGTTAAATGGTGGGTTCACAAAAAATTGAGAAAAAATTTAAAACTGATGTGGAGAAGGTTTTTTTGTGATTGAGTGAGATACTGGAGGATGAGATGGATGCAGGAGACCACAAATAACTGAGAAATAACCCCAACTGATATTGATGCTCTTATGTTAATTTGGAGTTTTTATCAGTTGGTGGGGGCTAGCTGATGAAAGAAACAATTGCAACGCCAGCTGCATGAAGAACAAGTTGCGCCCATCCTGGCGCGTGTTAATTACCTAACTTGTTTTTTTTTTTTTTTTTTTTTTTTTTTTTTTTTTTTTTTAATTCAGCTTCTGTTTTGTTTTTTTTTTCTCCATTTTCTATTTCCTCTTATTTCATCTTTCCTAATCACACTTACAAAAACTCTTCAAAAACCTCACTATTGAAGATGCCCTTAGATAAGATTCTCTCTGACATCAAACAACTAGTATTTTTTTTTTAATGCTACTGACTCTATTACAATATAGTATTTGTTATCAAACAGCTAGTATAATTGGATATAATTATTGAAAAGTTCAAAATTTTTTCTATCAATAAATTTTTAGTCTTTTACCTAATGAATTGTTTTGACGTGAAATCGAGGAAGAAAAATAGTTGTACTACATAGATGACACACTTAACATGCTTTGGCGTTTAAGGAACACATAATCTTATACAAGTAAACATCAAAAGTTTTCATTTAGTATACGTAAATATGAAGACTTTGTTTGTTTCAATTCCGACATTATACCAATAGTGAAAATGACAAATGAGTGTACAGTTGGACTGGATCGGATGTGATGACCGTTGATTCGTTGGTTTTGCCTACTCAAATGCTGTCCACCCATTTTTGGAAAAATAAAAATAAAAATGCTATCCAAACATTTTTGAAAAAATAAAAATAAAAATGCTATCCACCCATTTTCATCAAAATGCAATCCTAATTGAAATTGTCACAATAATTAAGTAGGTACAATAATTTCCTTGAATATTTGGATATTGGGGTGTTTTGTAAATAGTTGTTAGTTGATTGTGGTTAGTGAGTTTGACTAGTTAATAACATTAGCTAATTATAGAAAGATGTTTGGTAAAGTAGTTGTTAGCTGATAGCTGATTTCGTACAAAATGTCTTTCTCAAAAAGCTAATCGAAAAGCATCTTTGAGCAGTTTTTTGAATTTTTGTATTTTAGAACAATAAACTGTTACAAAAAGTTAATAAATCAGCTCATATTGGTTGTTTAATTAAGTTAAACAGCTAATAGTGGTCAAACAAACCAAAATTGACTGATAAGCTAACTATTTTTGTAAGACTTTCCCGTATAATATATATTATATATTATGGGTCTTACTTATGTGGTGCAAGTGGACTAGGCCCATTAAGTAATTGGTAGGGTTGGACCTTTAGGTTTAAGTCTTATATCCACCAATGTGCCTATATAAAGCTTGTATTGATGGGATACAAGATACATGAATATTATATGGTACGCATACTACTCAGAAAATACCAGTACACCATCTAGGGTTCTGAGTCAAGTATGAGACAAAACGGCTAACCCTATTCTGCAGATCTACCGTTCAAGAGGCAACACAACATGATATCAACCATGGCTGGAGATCTACAGTGCTTCCGCTTCCGCTGCTACGAGTTAAGTTTATCGTAGATTATGCTTTGTATATTTAAATCTCACATTTGGTATCAGAGCCTTTATCAATCTCTGTCTGGTTGATTGTTTTGCCTAAAAACAATATTTATTTTTCATATACATCAAGATTTTGTATATGATTTTTGGACTGCTGAATTTTTTTTTGCCTTAAGCATGATTTTAATTTCTTCTGAATTCTGAAATTATATGTTGTGATTTTTGTGAACCCACCGCCATCGAATTTTGGCCCGAGGAATACGGTACGAGATAACAAATTGCGGAGCCGTCCGCTGGCAAAGGAATTCATTGGAAATCAGTCATTAGATGTGGCGTTTTCTCCTTCATTTTCCCTGCATCAGCCATTAATTCCTTGCTTCGGAATTCTTCATTTCGATTCATTATTGTTGTGGTTTCTGGTGACGTTGGAAGAATACAACGAAGGAGTACTGCCGGGTACATTTAAGTGCAAATGCAATCATTATTATTTTTTTACCATATATTTATTTACCATATTTAGTTGCCTTATATAATAATTATATTATATTATTTTGGCAAATGGTAAAAATATGGTAATTGCTTGTTTTTTGGATGATGCCCTTTAGTTTTCTTAATTTTGGCATTGAATTCATAATTAAATTATCATTCAATTATGAGAAAATATTAAGATTTAAAGTTTCTATGTGAATCTTAATTTAATATTAAAGTGTATATTAAATTGCCTGAAGTATTGCAATTTGTTTAGGATATTCATGAGTTAATATATATTAATATGTAAAAATCCAAGCATGCTATGTGTATTCATAAATTATTTTATTATAATTGTACATTCATAAAAGCATGCATTAAAGTTGGATTAAAATATTATCAACTCATAGTCTCTATATTAAATGTCATTCAATTTTTAGGATCCTTAGGTCAATATTTGACATTATGGTCTGTTAAGACAGCTTGTTTGGTTTCTCATTTAATTCTGAGCATATTTTTGTCCTATTTCTGACTTAGGGCTTTAAAACCTATTTTGAACAAGTTTTTTGGGACCTATCTTGGGTCATTAAGTTTGGATCCCACCATTTTTTATTGATATTTTAATAATAATTATAGCTATTTTATTTTGACTTATAACATGTTTATTATGGTAATAATATTGATTATTATGCATAACATGTTCACTAAGTCTTAATTATTACTAACTACCATATCATGTTAATGGTATTCTTGGTTGGTAATAATATTAATTATTAAGTTTGGATATATTTCAGTACTAGACCATTTTATATCCATGTCACAACTCACTTGGACCATTGAGTTTATGAGTCTAATTTGAGTGATTAAGTGCTATAATTATTATATTAGGTCTATTTATGAGCCATTAAGAATTTAAGGATTATAATTGTTATTTTGGCCATTAAGAATTATAACTATTGTTTAAGTTGATTATATATATTTTAATCTATCAAATAGTTTTCAGGGCCTTAATAATAATATTAATTCCTTTAATGATATAGTAAGCAATATAGTTGGTATATTGCCTTTACAATGGTAATTTGATTATTACCATAATTTCAGTCTCCCTGAAAGACATTATAGCCTTGGTTAATTATTATGTGGTAATATGAGATTGACATTCAGTATCCCCTTAATTATGGTTTTGCGGTTTTGCCATTTATTAAGTTACTAGTTTTTCTACGCGCTTTGCGCGAATAAGATAATGCCCAATGGTTATTTTTAAATAAGTATTTCAAAGTATATCAATGCAAATTATATAGAAGATGTTCATAGTAAATAAATGTTGAATTTGTTTATTTAAATCGGTAATTTAAAGTATATAAATGCAAGATAATATATTAGAGATTGATTATATATAACTGTAACAAAAATAAATGTTTGCAAGTTTGTAATAACGCTAATCTAAGTACTAAGTCTAAAATCGATAGTCTAAATAAATACTATTTTTTGTTTAAAATTTTCTAATTCTCTTTTAAATAGCATTGTTATTGTTTTCATCTTCA